TGGCCCCTCCTGACTCACAACTACTGATGCCAACAACGCAATCCCCTCAACAAACATGCAACACAACCTCATATATATTGGCTAATATACAGTGCCATCCACCAACAACAAAATACCTTCTTAGAGGAGTCAAATGCTATGTTTGCAGCTTTCACAAGAACCCACGCAAAAGATTACTTTAACAGTGAAATATGGGTACCTGGATACAACGTTTTCAGATGCGACAGAAGAGACAACAAGGAGGAGGGGGTTGGCCTGTATGTCAGAGAGTTGCTCCTTTGCACAGAGATACTGAACACCACAAATGATGTAGTTGAAATTCTGACAATAAAAATCGAGAATCAAAACTTAGTCATCGTACTTGTACATAAGCCTCCAGATGCAACTTCCCACCAGTTCAAGGAACAGCTCGCAAAAATTGAAACCTCTGTCCCTTCAGAGGTTATGGCTCCCCTCTTTTGTTTCCCATAGTCTGGCTGGTCTTTGTCTTCTTGTTCCCTCTAAATGATGTACCTGGCAGTATGTACCTGGCAGTATGTACCTGGCAGTATGTACCTGGCAGTATGTGCCTGGCAGTATGTGCCTGGCAGTATGTGCCTGGCAGTATGTACCTGGCAGTATGTACCTGGCAGTATGTACTTGGCAGTATGTACCTGGCAGTATGTGCCTGGCAGTATGTACCTGGCAGTATGTGCCTGGCAGTATGTACCTGGCAGTATGTGCCTGGCAGTATGTGCCTGCCAGTATGTGCCTGCCAGTATGTACCTGGCAGTATGTACCTGGCAGTATGTACCTGGCAGTATGTACCTGGCAGTATATGCCTGGCAGTATGTGCCTGGCAGTATGTGCCTGGCAGTATGTGCCTGGCAGTATGTGCCTGGCAGTATGTACCTGGCAGTATGTGCCTGGCAGTATGTACCTGGTAGTATGTGCCTGGCAGTATGTGCCTGGCAGTATGTACCTGGCAGTATATGCCTGGCAGTATGTGCCTGGCAGTATGTGCCTGGCAGTATGTGCCTGGCAGTATGTGCCTGGCAGTATGTACCTGGCAGTATGTGCCTGGCAGTATGTACCTGGTAGTATGTGCCTGGCAGTATGTGCCTGGCAGTATGTACCTGGCAGTATGTACCTGGCAGTATGTGCCTGGCAGTATGTGCCTGGCAGTATGTGCCTGGCAGTATGTGCCTGGCAGTATGTGCCTGGCAGTATGTGCCTGGCAGTATGTGCCTGGCAGTATGTGCCTGGCAGTATGTACCTGGCAGTATGTACCTGCCAGTATGTGCCTGGCAGTATGTGCCTGGCAGTATGTACCTGGCAGTATGTTACCTGGCAGTATGTGCCTGGCAGTATGTTCCTGGCAGTATGTGCCTGGCAGTATGTGCCTGCCAGTATGTGCCTGCCAGTATGTACCTGGCAGTATGTACCTGGTAGTATGTACCTGGCAGTATGTACCTGGCAGTATATGCCTGGCAGTATGTGCCTGGCAGTATGTGCCTGGCAGTATGTGCCTGGCAGTATGTGCCTGGCAGTATGTGCCTGGCAGTATGTTCCTGGCAGTATGTACCTGGCAGTATGTACCTGCCAGTATGTGCCTGGCAGTATGTTCCTGGCAGTATGTGCCTGGCAGTATGTGCCTGCCAGTATGTGCCTGCCAGTATGTACCTGGCAGTATGTACCTGGTAGTATGTACCTGGCAGTATGTACCTGGCAGTATATGCCTGGCAGTATGTGCCTGGCAGTATGTGCCTGGCAGTATGTGCCTGGCAGTATGTGCCTGGCAGTATGTGCCTGGCAGTATGTGCCTGGCAGTATGTACCTGGCAGTATGTACCTGCCAGTATGTGCCTGGCAGTATGTGCCTGGCAGTATGTACCTGGCAGTATGTACCTGGCAGTATGTGCCTGGCAGTATGTGCCTGGCAGTATGTGCCTGGCAGTATGTGCCTGGCAGTATGTGCCTGGCAGTATGTGCCTGGCAGTATGTGCCTGGCAGTATGTGCCTGGCAGTATGTGCCTGGCAGTATGTGCCTGGCAGTATGTACCTGGCAGTATGTACCTGCCAGTATGTGCCTGGCAGTATGTGCCTGGCAGTATGTACCTGGCAGTATGTGCCTGGCAGTATGTACCTGCCAGTATGTGCCTGGCAGTATGTGCCTGGCAGTTTTATTTTATAATTTCTTTGACCTATTTATGTGTTTTTATAACCATTTAGCTCTTTCTAGTGTGCGTTTTATTTCGTGGGTAAATTCTCCAAATGGTTACCTAAGCTAATGGTGTATATTATGTTTGTTTCTTGTAATAATGGACGGTGTTTATTTTTGCTTGTGCTAATATTCTCGAGTTTCACGGGGCGACTCAAAGCTATCACTTACACCTTCCATTTGCTGAATAATTTTGATCAATATATGCTTAAGATCTTCACCTGTCATGTAACTTGTTATGTTTCACCAGTGTGTGAGTTACTTATGTGAGTTGTGTTTTATTATATTTTAGAAGTGTTTCTTTGTCTGTTCTTTCTTTGTTTTATTCAAAGAGTTTATTATCTGCTTGTATGTTGTGTGTATATTATTTTGAGAAAGAGGAATAAATTGTCCTTATTTGTGCCTTGAGTAGTCACAGCATCAGAATTACTGCTTGTGGAGGCTAGTACACCAAACGGGGAGTAGATGAAATTAGCTCTCAGACACCCACACCATCGTATATCCTCAGATCACGATACAACACCTAGCTCTGCTGAGTGCGTGATTCTTGTAGGATTGTATGGTGTCTATGAGGGCAACATAAACAAATATTTTTTTCAGATTCCTCTCTGTTAGAAACCCCATAGCCAAAGCGGTAGTTTAAGCCGGTTAATTTGGGGACCACGATTCAAGCCTTCCATCCATCTTATTGTTTACATATACGCACACACACATGGAGCAGGGAGAGAGAGAACCTAGTAGCGAACAGGGAAGAGGCGGGGCCAGGAGCTATGGATCGACAACTGCAACCACAAATAGGTGAGTACAAAAAGCTGAGTACACACAAAACGTATTTGTATATATATATATATATATATATATATATATATATATATATATATATATATATATATATATATATATATATATATATATACAACTCCCACACACAAAGTGGGAGTTGTCACAGCTGCTCTTTGCTGATGACACTGTGCTCTTGGAGATTCTGAAGAGAAGTTGCAGAGATTGGTGGATGAATTTGGTAGGGTGTGCAAAAGAAGAAAATTAAAGGTGAATACAGGAAAGAGTAAGGTTATGAGGATAACAAAAAGATTAGGTGATGAAAGATTGGATATCAGATTGGAGGGAGAGAGTATGGAGGAGGTGAACGTATTCAGATATTTGGGAGTGGACGTGTCAGCGGATGGGTCTATGAAAGATGAGGTGAATCATAGAATTGATGAGGGAAAAAGAGTGAGTGGTGCACTTAGGATTCTGTGGAGACAAAGAACTTTGTCCTTGGAGGCAAAGAGGGGAATGTATGAGAGTATAGTTTTACCAACGCTCTTATATGGGTGTAAGCGTGGGTGATGAATATTGCAGCGAGGAGAAGGCTGGAGGCAGTGGAGATGTCATGTCTGAGGGCAATGTGTGGTGTGAATATAATGCAGAGAATTCGTAGTTTGGAAGTTAGGAGGAGGTGCGGGATTACCAAAACTGTTGTCCAGAGGGCTGAGGAAGGGTTGTTGAGGTGGTTCGGACATGTAGAGAGAATGGAGCGAAACAGAATGACTTCAAGAGTGTATCAGTCTGTAGTGGAAGGAAGGCGGGGTAGGGGTCGGCCTAGGAAAGGTTGGAGGGAGGGGGTAAAGGAGGTTTTGTGTGCGAGGGGCTTGGACTTCCAGCAGGCATGCATGAGCGTGTTTGATAGGAGTGAATGGAGACAAATGGTTTTTAATACTTGACGTGCTGTTGGAGTGTGAGCAAAGTAACATTTATGAAGGGGTTCAGGAAACCGGCAGGCCGGACTTGAGTCCTGGAGATGGGAAGTACAGTGCCTGCACTCTGAAGGAGGGGTGTAATGTTGCAGTTTAAAAACTGTAGTGTAAAGCACCCTTCTGGCAAGACAGTGATGGAGTGAATGATGGTGAAAGTTTTTCTTTTTCGGGCCACCCTGCCTTGGTGGGAATCGGCCAGTGTGATAAATAATATATATATATATATATATATATATATATATATAATATATATATATATATATATATATATATAATATATATATATATATATATATATATAATATATATATATATATGTATATGTCGTGACGAATATGTAAAAAATGGTCAATTAGCAAGAACTCATTTAAAATTAAGTCCTTTCTAAAATTTTCTCTTATACGTTTAAAGATATATTTTTTTTTTATTAATTTTAATGTAAAAATTTTTAATTTTGCTTCAAAAGAATCTTAGAAAACTTACCTAACCTTATTATAACAAGAGCAATTTATTTTACCCTAACCCAATTAAATATATTTTAGATTTGTTTACAATAATTTAATACTAAACAAACACAGTGAAATATATTTTTTTCGTTAGGTTCAGAATGATTTTGTCGAAATTATTGCATACACAAATTTTCGCTTGTCCTATATGGCAAGATGAGCGTTGCTATTTAAGCCAAGATGGCAAGTTCTGCCTATTCGGCACGACATATATATATATATATATATATATATATATATATATAATATATATATATATATATATATATATAATATATATATATATATATATATATATATATATAATATATATATATATATATATATATATGTGCAATAAGATCACAGTAAACAGGTGATTTCAGAATATGCAAAACAACCACTGTGAAAGAAAAGAGAAGTTCTATTTCTCTTCTCGCCGATTACATCTTTGTCCTTCACAACCCACTCCGTATCTTCCTAAGAACACGTTAATGAGTAAAAGTAAATAGAATTCTATGAAATATTGACAGGAACAATTAAGAGACGCGTTACTCACCATTTCTTCCAGAGCTGAGTTATTCTCCACTGACTGGCTGGATTGTCTAGATGTCACTTCATTTAGTGACGGTAACATTTGACCCGCCTGTAGTTCATCACTGATTACTTTCATCTTCCTCACTTGTCCGTAAGTGGTAAATAATTCATCACTTACTGATCGGTCTATTGTATCCAAGTTCTCGCTCTCTGATCCAGCAGTAGTAACTACCTAAATACTCTCTGATCCAGCAGTAACAGCTTCCTTACTTTTTGATTCAGCAATACTGACAACATCCATTTTCTTGGACTCGGTGGTAGCGACCAAATCCATGGTAGCCACCAAGTCCTCACTCTTCGAGGCTGCGATATTCACCATCTGTCAAGAAACAACAACCTTCTTCATTACATACTGATATTGCAAAGGATCATATTTTAGGGCAGGGTTGATAATTTTCTGTGTACAATACTGTGATATTTTAACTCGAGTTAAATGTTTTTAATTATTATTATTATAACCAAAAAGAAGCTCTCAGCCACAAGGGCTATACAGCGCTGCAGGGTAGGGAAGGAAGCGAGGGTATTGGGCGGCAGACGGGGGGAGGATGATCAGTAGGTTACAGAAAACAGCGGGGCAGGGGATAGTGCGGGGGTAGAGGGTAGCAAGAGATTGAGGTAGAAAGGGCTGAAGGCATCAGAGTTTGTGAAGTACGTCAGTTGTTGTCAAAAAGTCAGTGAGAGAGTCCGGATGAAAGGTGGGTCCATCAGCGAGAAGGGAAGGTAAAGAGAGAGCAGCGGAGCGAAGACGACGATGGAGGTAAATTCTGCGTGCTCGTTGATAAAGTGGGCAGTCTAACAGAATGTGGCTGACTGATAATGGAACCTGACAATTCTCACAGAGAGGAGCAGGGCGCCTCTCCATGAGATATCCATGAGTAATTCGAGTACGGCCAATGCGAAGACGGGAGAGAGTAGTCTCCCAACCTCGACACTGGTGACAAGAAGATGGCCAGTAACCTATACTCGGTTTAATAGATTGAAGTTTGTTAACCGAGCATAGTAGACCAACGTTGTTGCCAACGGGTGTGAAGGTGGGTAGCTATTGCAGCAAAATAGTCCGTAAATGGAATATCTCTATATGAAACTGGTAGGTCATGTACTGCTCACCGCACAGCAGTGTCTGCCTGTTCATTGCCCTGTACGTCAACATGACCAGGGACCCAACAAAAAACAATATCTTTATGCTTGGTAAAGATGCGGCGTAGCCAAAGTTGGATACGGAGTACCAAGGGGTGAGGTGTATCAAAATTTCTGTATAGCCTGTAAAGCACTAAGGGAGTCTGAGACAACCACAAATGATGACACAGGCATAGATGCAATACGGATAAGTGCTGCAAGAATGGCATACAATTCAGCAGTAAAAATACTGGCTGAAGATAGTAAATGCCCTCGTACGACGCTGTACGGAAACACTGCTGCGAATCCAACGCCGTCAGAAGACTTAGAGCCATCTGTGTACACTGCAATGGCATGAGAATGAGAGTGTAAGTGGTCAAGAAAAAGAGAGCGGGAAGCGACCGTAGACAGTTGGGCTTTCGAGCAAGAGAGAGAGAAAGAACAGACTCGAACAGCTGGAACTTCCCAGGGGGGTAGGGAAAAGTAAGATGCTACATGAACATAGAAAGGTGGTAATTGAAGAGAAGACAAGAGCGAATGTAGGCGAAGAGAGAAGGGACGGAGTAAACAGGGGCGGCGAACAAATAAACAATATCTACTAATATCAGTGACCATTCTATAAATGGAAGGATTGCGGAGATCATGAGAGCATACATAGTAGCGAAGGCAATGGGCATCGCGGCGATTGGATAAGGATGGAACATTCGCTTCTGCATAGAGGCTCTCAACAGGGGAAGAGCGAAAAGCACCAAGGCATAAACGTAATCCTTGGTGATGAATGGGGTTGAGGCTAGAGAGAGTAGCAGGAGAGGCCGCTGAATAGATCTGGTCACCATAATCAAGTTTCTATAAAATGAGGGTGGAATGTAGGCGAAGGAGAGTTCGACGATCATAAATGTTTTTAAATAATTTCCAGTTTACCTCTTCTTAAAAATAATATTGGAATCGATGTAATCCGTACCATAAAGCTCACGTTGCCAGTGAGTGGTATAAGGCTTAATTTTCCAATTATATTGAGTAAATAACGATTTTTTTGCATTCAATACCTTAAAAAGCTTCTTTTGATTTGCTTCAAAATATCATTGAAGATGTGTGCTGTAAGAAGGATCATTCTCAGTAAATATACTGCGAGTACGTCAAAATTTGAAATTCTACTGAAATATTTTAAAAACTTGTAAAATTAAATTTGCCATTCTTTTAAGCTAATTGTTTCTCATGTAATAAATAGTGAATATCTCGTTTCAGCTTCAGACATAAACACTGATGTAGCTGCAGCTGCCTTGAGCCATCACTTACCACATCAGTCTTACCGGAAGTGATACTCATTGTCTTACCTACCTTCATGTTTTGACACTCCGTTTTACCAGCCTAATACAGTGAGTGTTCGGTTTATAGCCTTGTTTTATTTGACTTTTATCCCCCCCCCTCCGCTCCATATTTAAATACTTTCGTTAGAGATTTACCGAGTGATTGTAAAAAAATCTTTCCGTGTATTTCTTGCAATTTCGTTTCTGTATTTCAATTTACTCATATTCGTATTATTTATGAAGTTAAGTTTTTTTGCAGTGTATGTCTCGTATTTTAATTATGGAATATTCAGATTATTTTTTCTACAAGTTTTATTCTGTTATTGTATTTACTGAGCCCATTATTGACAAGGTTTCTTCTGTCTCTATGTTGCCTTTGCTTGAGCCTCATACGTTGACACTGATCTTGCACACTGGTGCGCTAAATGTCCTCAATCACATAAAGCGAAGGTGATCCTTATATTCTCAGGTATTCAGTTGAGTTACAGTTGGTGTCTATGAGGGCAACATAAACAAAAATATTTTTTTCAGATTCCTCTCTGTTAGAAACCCCATAGCCAAAGCGGTAGTTTAGGCCGGTTAATTTGGGGACCACGATTCAAGCCTTCCATCCATCTTACTGTTTAAACATACACACACACACATGGAGCAGGGAGAGAGAGAACCTAGTAGCGAACAAAGAAGAGGCAAGGCCGGGAGCTATGGATCGACAACTGCAACCACAAATAGGTGAGTACAAAAAGCTGAGTACACACACACGTATGTATATATATATATACATAGAGCAAAGGAAGGGGTAGCAGTAATGTTGAATGATCAGTTATGGAAGGAGAAAAGAGAATATGAATGTGTAAATTCAAGAATTATGTGGATTAAAGTAAAGGTTGGATGCGAGAAGTGGGTCATAATAAGCGTGTATGCACCTGGAGAAGAGAGGAATGCAGAGGAGAGAGAGAGAGATTTTGGGAGATGTTAAGTGAATGTATAGGAGCCTTTGAACCAAGTGAGAGAGTAAAATTTTGGTAGGGGACCTGAATGCTAAAGAAGGAAAACTTTTAGAGAGGGTGTGGTAGGTAAATTTGGGGTGCCAGGTGTAAATGATAATGGGAGCCCTTTGATTGAACTTTGTATAGAAAGGGGTTTAGTTTATAGGTAATACATATTTTAAGAAAAAGAGGATAAATAAGTATACAAGATATGATGTAGGGCGAAATGACAGTAGTTTGTTGGATTATGTATTGGTAGACAAAAGACTGTTGAGTAGACTTCAGGATGTACATGTTTATAGAGGGGCCACAGATATATCAGATCACTTTCTAGTTGTAGCTACACTGAGAGTAAAAGGTAGATGGGATACAAGGAGAATAGAAGCATCAGGGAAGAGAGAGGTGAAGGTTTATAAACTAAAAGAGGAGGCAGTTAGGGAAAGACATAAACAGCTTTTGGAGGACAGATGGGCTAATGAGAGCATAGGCAATGGGGTCGAAGAGGTATGGGGTAGGTTTAAAAATGTAGTGTTAGAGTGTTCAGCAGAAGTTTTTGGTTACAGGAAAGTGGGTGCGGGAGGGAAGAGGAGCGATTGGTGGAATGATAATGTAAAGAGAGTAGTAAGGGAGAAAAAGTTAGCATATGAGAAGTTTTTACAAAGTAGAAGTGATGAAAGGAGGGAAGAGTATATGGAGAAAAAGAGAGAGGTTAAGAGAGTGGTGAAGCAATGTAAAAAGAGAGCAAATGAGAGAGTGGGTGAGATGTTATCAACAAATTTTGTTGAAAATAAGAAAAAGTTTTGGAGTGAGATTAACAAGTTAAGGAAGCCTAGAGAACAAATGGATTTGTCAGTTAAAAATAGGAGAGGAGAGTTATTAAATGGAGAGTTAGAGGTATTGGGAAGATGGAGGGAATATTTTGAGGAATTGTTAAATGTTGATGAAGATAGGGAAGCTGTGATTTCGTGTATAGGGCAAGGAGGAATAACATCTTGTAGGAGTGAGGAAGAGCCAGTTGTGAGAGTGGGGGACGTTCATGAGGCAGTAGGTAAAATGAAATGGGGTAAGGCAGCCGGGATTGATGGGATAAAGATAGAAATGTTAAAAGCAGGTGGGGATATAGTTTTGGAGTGGTTGGTGCAATTATATATTAAATGTATGGAAGAGGGTAAGGTACCTAGGGATTGGCAGAGAGCATGCATAATTCCTTTGTATAAAGGCAAAGGGGACAAAAGAGAGTGCAAAAATTATAGGGGAATAAGTCTGTTGAGTATACCTGGTAAAGTGTATGGTAGAGTTATTGTTGAAAGAATTAAGAGTAAGACGGAGAATAGGATAGCAGATGAGGAGGCTTTAGGAAAGGTAGGGGGTGTGTGAACCAGGTGTTTACAGTGAAACATATAAGTGAACAGTATTTAGATAAGGCTAAAGAGGTCTTTATGGCATTTATGGATTTGGAAAAGGCGTATGACAGGGTGGATAGGGGGGCAATGTGGCAGATGTTGCAGGTGTATGGTGTAGGAGGTAGGTTACTGAAAGCAGTGAAGAGTTTTTACGAGGATAGTGAGGCTCAAGTTAGAGTATGTAGGAAAGAGGGAAATTATTTCCCAGTAAAAGTAGGCCTTAGACAAGGATGTGTGATGTCACCGTGGTTGTTTAATATATTTATAGACGGGGTTGTAAGAGAAGTAAATGCGAGGGTCTTGACAAGAAACGTGGATTTAAAAGATAAAGAATCACACATAAAGTGGGAGTTGTCACAGTTGCTCTTTGCTGATGACACTATGCTCTTGGGAGATTCTGAAGAGAAGTTGCAGAGATTGGTGGATGAATTTGGTAGGGTGTGCAAAAGAAGAAAATTAAAAGTGAATACAGGAAAGAGTAAGGTTATGAGGATAACAAAAAGATTA